ACATCATCCGGGGCCACCTCTGCCGAGCGCTTCAGCCGCGACCTAGCCGCGGTCATGTCGACATCCGCGGCGGTCTCTGCCGCTCGCGCCGCTCCCGAACTGGAGCTCGCTCCTCCTGAAGGAGCCGCCACGCCGAAGCCCGGTGCTACCGGCTGGCTCTCTCGCAGGCGCGCCGCCGTGGCTGCCACTGCTGGCGCTGCTGCCGAGCGGGTCGCGGCCGGCGCGGCCGATGCCGCTGCCGCCGCTGCCACCGGCTCGGTGATCCTCCGAGCCGTCTTCGGCGGAGGGGTCCCTGCCGCGGCCGATGCCGCCGGTCGGACTCTGGCCTCTTGGCCCTGCCTCCGCTCTCGATACTGGCCGGTCCTCTCCCGGCCTGCCTCCTCCGCGTCCAGCGCTTCGAAGATCCTCTTGCTGCACGCCGCGTTGTGCGCGTGGCCAGCCAGCGCCAGGCCGTGCCGAGCGATCGAGATGCACCCTGGGCATCCCGGCGTTGCGCCCAGCCGCTCGATGTCCGCCTTGAGGACGTACATCCTCCTCGGCGCCTGCGGCTGCGGCGACACCACCACAATTGGTGGCGGACCGACCTCTCCAGGTCCGACGATGGCCCGCGGCGCGCTTGCCGCACGCGGAGCCACGTCCCACGGCAGGCCCTTCAGGCCATCCCAGCCCGCCGTGATCCACTTCTCGCTCTGCGGCAGGCTGCGAAAGCCGACCGCCTTTTTCACGCCGTCGCTCGTGATGACCATCATCGAGCCGTCGCGCGGGTGGTGGCCGATGTAGCGAGCCTCCACCATCTGCTCCTCCAGCGCGTTCTTCTTCGCGCGCTCCCCGGCGAACCGCGCCATCAAGCGTTCGCCGAAGAGCGGGACCGGCTTCCTCCACTGCCGTCCCGTGAGCCGCTGAAGAGCGGTCTTGCCGTCCTGGCCGCGCCGGTATCGGTTGATTACCGATGCGGCGTGCTCCGGCAGGTGCGCTAGCACCGGGTGCTTGTCCTCCACCTTGACGCCCAGCTTGGACTCCAGGTCCATCTTGAGCGCCCGCACCTGCTTCTTGATCTCGCGCACCGTGACCTCGATCTCCCCATTGGCCTGATGATCGGCCGGTGCCGACTCCTGGGGAATGGCCTCGAGGCCAGGAACCTCCTCCACCGCACGCCTCTTGACCAGCAGGATCGCTGGCTCGCCGTCGGACTTGTTGACGATCTTCCTGTAGCCCAGGATCCGCAAGAAGCGTGCGAAGAACTTGATGGCGTAGGCGTCGTCGCCCTTCTTCTCCACGAATGTCGCCGCCATCATCTTCGAGCGCCGATCCCTAAGGACCAGCATCGGCATGGTGTCCGCGTCGTCCTGGCCCATGAAGGCGTAGTCGGACGAGACCACCGGCACCGCTGTCTCGTCGTCCTCCGGTGCGCGGAGATGCGGCTGGCCTTGGCCCTTTGCCGCAATACACACGCGACACCAGCTGCGATAAGTCGCGTGTCCCATCGCCTCGTGTTCGGCGATCTCCCTCTGAGAGGGCTCATGAGGTGCCTTCAGCACTCTCGGGCGAGCCTCCTCCTCGCCCTCCTCGGCCTGCTGTCCATCAGGAGCAGCTGGCAAAGCGTCGGCCGCAGCAGCTGCCGCTGGCTGAAAACCCGGCGGTCTCACGTCGGAAGGCCCCGACCCCGCCGCTGCCGCCCCCGCAGCCGATGCCGCCGGGGGCCGTGGTATTAAGTCCTCCAGTGGGCTTACGCCGAGGGCTGCCTCCTGGGGACTGTCTTCTCGAGGATCTCCAGCAGCTCCTCCTTCGACTTGCCGCTGAGGAGCTCCACCAGCTCGGACTTCGACTTCGCCGAAAGTCCCTCCTCGAGAGGAGCAACCGAGCCATGTTGGCCCTTCTTGAGGTAGAAGTTGTAGACGCCCTGCTCGCGATAGACCGGCAGCATCTGGTGCTTCGCCGCCTTCGCCTCCTTCTCGAGCATGCCTACCACGCGCTTGCCGATTGGGCTCTTCTCGTGGAATATCCAGCCGCCATTGCGGCCCAGGAATGAACACTGTCCAGCTCCTGCTGCCTGCCCCACCGAGATCAACGGCTTGTGCACGTTCGTCACGCGTCCCTTGAGCGCTCGTAGCACTCCGTACTCGTCCTCAGCCTTGAGCTGCAAGCTGCCCTCGTCCGGGACGAGCTCACCACTGGCCGTGCGATACGTGCTGCCGTTGCCCTTCATTCCCGTCGGCGGCGCGAAGCTCCGAGGGAATGCTGAGATAGCTGCACCGCTGTCCCAGTTGAACTTCATCCAGTCGTCCTGCGCGAAGGGGGAGAGATCGACCGCCGCTACGCCGCGGCCGCTGCCGCTGGCGAGCTCCAGGCAGTCCAGGCTGCCCATGTCCAGAGCGGCGACCTCCGCTTCAGGCTCCTCCTCCAGGCTGCCTGCAGCCTTGCCGCCGGCCTTGCCGCCGCGGCTACCGGCTTTACCACCAGCGCTTGCCCCCGTTGCGGATCCAGTTCCAGCCCTCGAACTCGATCCCTGCTCTTTCTTCCAGCAGTCGGATGCCTTGTGGCCCCATCTCTCGCAGTTCCGACAGTAGCCGTCGAAGCGCCCGCTGGTGTTTCGAGGTGCCGTGTGCCCTGAACCACGGCCCGAACCCGTCGGGGACGTGCGGGAGCCTGAGTATGATCCGTTCGTCGATTTGCTCTTCCCCTTCGGCTCCTGAGTCTTGCCTTTCCCTTTGCTCTTGCCGTCCTTGCCCTTGCCTTTGCCTTTGCCCTTCGGGGCTCCGAATGACCCGACGTCCATGTCGTCCGGATGATGCGCCCTCGCGCGGATCGACGGCTCCTTGATCTTCACGCCGGTCCGAGCCTCCACGATCGTCATCACCTCGTTCAGACTGTCTTGGAACGTACCGAGCCGATGCTTGTTGAGGACGAGGTGATTTTCGATGTCCTGAGGCACGAGCATCTCGAGAGCCGCCATCTTGATATCCTCCGGCAGCTCGGCTAGACCATCTTCTCCTTGGCGGCGTTCGTACCTGCCTATCTGCTGGATCCACTTCTCTAAGGCGGATCCCAGCTCGTCCGCGCTGCACTTCGGAGGCGAGATGATCGACCTCAGGATCAGCCTCTTCCTCGGACCTGTCGTCGGATCCCACCTGCGGTGGAGCTTCCGCCAGGCTTCGAGACCGTTCCCATCGGGAGCGCCCGTCACGAGGTCGTTGCTCTCGCTCCCGTCCGCCGTCGTGCTGATCAGCGCCGCGTACAGCTGGTTGACCTTTGTCTCCAGCTCTGGCACTCCGTCGTGCGCCGCCTGAGCCCCCGCGATCGTCACGGGGTGTTCGGCTTCTGCAGCCCACCGAAGAACGGGACGAAAACTCTCTCCGTACACGCCGATCACGTAGTTCTCCATCTTGCGATTCCAAGCGCCGAACTTCTCTTGATCGTCGCCCATCGTCGTGGGCTTGCCAATCCCCTTCGCGTCGACGAGACCGTGAGCGGCTACGCCCGCGCTCGACGCGCTTCTGATCTGCTCGCCCATACGCTCGATCGCCTGCGGAATTGCCGCGAGGCCTCCTGCTACTTGCTGCTGAAGCCGATGATTCTCGCTCTCCAGCCTCCTCATCTCGTCGGCTGCCTGGCTCATCTGCGCTGCGAACTCCTGCCTCAGCAGTTCGAACTGCTGCCGAACCTGCTCGTCCATGCTTGATCGCGTGTCTCTCTGCGAGCTCCTCCCGGCTCTCAGCTATCTGCTGCCTCGTGCGCTCAAGGTCCGTGATCCTGCCTAGGACCTCCTTCTGCGCCTCCTCAATGGCGTCCGATGAGTTCTCCGAGGGATGGTCCTCGATATGTGCGAGGTCTCGGAGCTTGTTGCCAGTCTCCCTCAAGTCGTGCTTGAACTGGAGGGCCTTGCGCCTGGTCTCGATCGCTGCCTCACTCCTCTTGCCGCGCCTGCGGCCGCTCTTCCCGGCCCCTGCCGGTCGCTCGGTCGCTGCCGAGCTTGCCGCGGTCGATGCCGCCCTGCTCCAGTCTCGAGCCTCCTGCCGGCTCGCCGTGGCGCCCGCGGCCGCGGCGCGCCGAGGCCTGGGTGGGGTCGGCAGCAGTGAGTGGCCAGCTCACGCTACCATGATGAGATAATATGCCGATGAACAGCAATATCTCCTTTTCATCTTGAGCCAAAATGGGCGCACAGAGGAGGGTGTCAGAATCATGGCCACACAGACAAACATAACCAAACTCGGGAACAAACGCCCAAGGTTTCGGTCGGAATTGCTCGAAGCAACACATCTTTGCCGCGAGATGGTCCAAGATGCTCCTGTTCATGGTTCTCGAGAAAGTTCACACGTCCGAGCGATGCCGAGAGAGGTGCACTTCCTTCTCAGAAGGCCAACCCCCTCGCCCAGCCCCCTCCGGCGCGCCGCCGCTCCTCCCCCCACCCCCTCGGGGGTTGCCACAAAGTGTTCCTGGCCCTGGGCGCTCCCAGCGTTTCGCGGCGCCCGCGCCACTTTGCTACTGTGAGGGGTGCTCTGAAGGGTCGCGTGGGCCTCCCTGGAGGTCTTGGGGAAACCTAGGGCCACGGACACCGCGGCACCCGATTCTCTCTCCCCTCCTCCCCTTCCAGCCCGTGCTGGGGTGGCCGGGGAGGGTATCGATCTGGTGGGCGGAAGGGCGTCACGCGGCTATGCCGCCGCAGCCGGATCGCTCATGCACTATGCATCATAATTTGTACAGTGCACCGTGTTCTTCTGCGGGCCGCGCCCCTGCCGTCCTCGACGAAGTACGTGGTGCGGGTGTCACTCGAACAACTTGCGCGGGTCCGCGCGGGCTTCTCGGGTCCGCGCTGGGCCCCCCTCCCCACACCCACCCCCTGGCGCGCGAAGCGGGCCGCTCTGGGGGAGAGGGCACAGACTCCGCCAGGGGGTCCCAGCGTCGACCCAAGGAATCCGCGCGGCGCACGAGAACGCCGTGCTCAGCCAATTCTCCCGCTCGTCTCCATCGGCGCTCCCCGCCGCCCACCCTCGCCGAGGGGCCTCCGCCGCAGCCCGCGCTGCCGCCGCCGAGCCGCCGCCTGCACCCTGCTCGTCCTCGGACGGGCGTCGAGCCTGGCGCGCCGCCGATCGTCGACGTGACCACAATCGCATCAGCCATCGTCACCGTGGCCGTCAGCGTTACCACTGGGCCAGTAGCAGGGGGTGTGCGAGCGCTGGCAGACCGCGGCTATCCCGCCGCCGCCCACACGGAGGACGGGCCCCTCTGGGGAGGCGCCGTTGTCGGCCTCCGGAACGACCTGACGACTGCAAGCACCGACTGATGGTTGATTTCGCGAGTTGGGCCCACATAACAAGCGTCTTCGTTGGCCTCTGTTGGCCTCCGCTTGGCCGCCGGATTGCCCTGACGAACCTGCAGGTTACGTAACCTTGTAGTTCGCGCAGCGCGATGTGCGAGGCACAGCACACCCATCTTCGCGGTCTCACGCCGCCCCTGGAGAAGGTGAATTGTCTGGCGTAGGCTGCAAGGCGCGATTATCGTTGGCTCCCTCGATCGACGGCACGACTCACACGCGGGTTGACTGCACGAACTGACCCACGTGTGGGCCACGACTTCCATGACCCGCATGAGAACGCAACGAAATAAGTGGCCCCCGCAGTTGCGGATGAGAGTGAGAGGGCGGCGGGGACGTCCGAAGTCTGCGAGGCTCTGAAGAAGCCCGCCCCAGGCGCCTAATTTTCATTAATCGTACAACGAGACCGCAGCAGGCGCCGAATTTCTCGTTAAAACAATGTCGGTCAATCGCGGATGGGTCGCGGGTGGGTCGCGGGTGGGTCGCGGGTGGGTCGCAAAGGGGTCGCAGGTGGGTCGCGGGCCGGGTCGCGGGTGGGTCGCGGGTGAGTCGCGGGTGGGTCGCGGGTGGGTCGCGGGCCGGGTCGCGGGTGGGTCGCGGGTGGGTCGAGGTGAGTCGCGGGTGGGTCGCGGACGGGTCGCGGGGTGGGACGCGGGTGGGTCGCGGGTGGGTGGCGGGTGGGTCGCGGGGTGGGACGCGGGTGGGTCGCGGGTGGGTGGCGGGTGGGTCGCAGGTGGGTCGCGGGCGGGTCGCGGGTGGGTCGCGGGCTGGGTCGCGGGTGGGTTGTGGGTGGGCCACGTCGCGGGGGGAACGACGACAAACGCAACGCAACGCAACGCAACGCAACAACAAGAAACACACTCCACACCGCGGAGTTCAACTTCAACCACGCACCCAAAAACAATGAAAAACTGTTCGGCCCCGCTCACTCTGATCATCCGTGCAAGTTGGTGACGGAGACCGCACGAAACGCTCACGACAAGCGGGGTGGCAAGCAGCCTTACATTCTTGTCGCTGGGCGCTATTCCTGGTGACACCCCCCTCCTGGATTCTACAAGGAGTCTGGACGACTGCGGCGCCCGAGCAGCCGAACGAAAGGCCTTGACGCGGACCAGTCATTATGGGAGCCCAGCGTTGCGACATAAACGACGGGAGGACGAACGTCGGACAGCTGGAGGGACGAGCAGGGCCCCCTACTCGGGGACCGTTGCCGCCGCCATTTCGGCCAGCCCGGCGACCCGCCGCTTCAGCGGTCGGCGACGTCGGCAGTGAGGCGCCACCTGCCCCGCCAGCGGAGGCCGATATGGATCTCGAACGCAACCTTGGCGCCATTCAAGGCGCGGCGCACGTGCCGACCCAGCACAGCGAGCCAGACTGTGAACCCGAGACGGCGGCCGCCAGGGCATCGCCAGGCCCATCTGCCCAAGGTGCGCGCCACCCTACCTCGCCGCAGCCCCACCCGCGCCCGACGGCTCGGTCGGCGCTGTGGCCGCCGCCCCAGCCAGTCCAGCAGCGGCGGCGGCGCGCGATGTCAGCGACAATGCCACCCTTGCCCCCGCAGCCGCCTCGGCAGCGCCCGACGACGGGGCCAGGGCTGCGGCCGCCACCTCGGAGGTTCCAACGACAATGGCGCCCGGCGATGCTGGCGGCAAGGCCGCCACGGCCCCGTGACCGCCACCGACCCCGGCAGCCGCGTCGGTCGCACCCGACGACGGAGTGGGGGCTGCGACCGCCACCTCGGAGGGTCCAGCGACACCCGCGGAGGGCGATGCTGGCGGCAATGCCGCCACGGCCCCATGTCCAACACCCGCCCCCGCTGTCGTTTCGGCCGCGTGCAAATCGGCAGCCGCTGGCCGCTTGGACACGTCGCAGCATAAGAACAGGTTCGGCGACCTGGGCATGGACATCGCGACGAAGCTGGAGCACCTGTCGTTCGACCTCGCCGTGTTCGGACTAGGCGCGGCTGCAGAGCTCGCGGAGGCGCGCGCCGCAGGGAGTGCTACGGCGCTGCCACCGAGCGCCGAGGTGCTCGAGCTGGAATCGCTCAAGATGCCACCCATGGGACATCGATCGCCGCGCCGCTGGACCGAAGGGGCAGCGCCGCGGGGCGGCGGGGATGGGCTGAGAATCGCCCGGGAATAGTTGTCGCGAGGGTCGGGGGGTTCTGGGAAATAGTTGTAGGGGGGGATCTGCGGCCGCGGGCCATCCGCGGGCGATCCTCGGCCAGAAGAGGTGTCGAAGTGCGGAGCATCCCTCCTTCCGAGCGCACCCATCCCCAACCGAGGATCGTGGTCACTATTATAACTATTCGACTGACCACCCTGCCAGTATTCCTTTACCCCTTCAAATTGTTTGAGGAATGGTGTTTGACTAGCACCAGCCTTCCAAAACCACTTCCAGGACATGCTTTAGCCCAATCACGGCCCTCAGAAACTCGTCCAGGAGAGGTGTTTGGATAACGTTAGTCCCAGCTCGCGAAAACACTTCCAGGAAAGGTTATTGCCCAGACGCGGCCTTCAAACACACTGCCAGGACAGGTGTTTTGCTAGTCTCTGCTTTCAACAAGGGAAAAGTGTTTCGCCCCTGGGAAGGTCTTTTCTAGCCCCTGGGAAGGTTGGTTTTAGGTCCTGGGGGAGGGGCTTTAGCCACTGGGAGTGTCCATTGTAGCCTCTCGGAGGACTCTTTTAGCCCATTGGAGCGTTTTCTCAGGCAACTCTTGGGACCCACTGGGAGGCGTCTTGAAGATCTTGGGGCCAGGGCCCTACGGCGCGGTTCCGAAGGTCTCACGAGGGCTCCACAAGGGGCCAACGACGTGTGACGAACAGTCCATTTTGCGTGGAAGGTTGTTGGGCACGTTTGAGGCTCTCGTCGCGCCCTCTTGGGGCCATCTTGGGGCCCTCGCGGGACTCTCTCGGGGACATCCAGGGCCCTCCTGTTGTACGCTGTACCGTCCGTCGGGGCTCTCGCAAGCAACCATGATGGCACAATCTCGCGCCGCGGCTTGCAGAACTATCCGGCATATCGTCCCGAGGCCCCCTTCAGAGCCCCGAGAAAGCCCGAAGGCGGCCCGCAGAAATGGCCGCAACGTCAGTTGCGGGCAGTTCTCCGCAACTCGCGGGCAATGTTCCGACAGTTCACCGACGGCTCTCTGGCGAACTGTTTGAGAACTGATGGAGGACTTTCGGCGTCTCCCTGCGCATCACAGGGGTCCCACGGGCCTCTTGGAAGTCTCTCGAGCCTCTTGGGGGCCTCTGATCGCCTCGTGGGGATACTTCTTGGGGGCCTGCCAGCGGTCTGCCGCGCGTGTGGGCACTTTCAGGGGCCGCGTGGAGCTTCGTCCAGCTGCAACTGTTGGACAGTTCTCCAACATATTCCCGGCAATTCCCCAGAACTGTTGGAGAGCTGTGGGGAACTGTCAGCGCGAGCGGCGCGTTTCCTCCTTGCGCCTCTTAGGGGGGCTCTTGGCCTTTTGGGGGCGTTTTGTCGGCATCGTGAGCCTTTGGGGGCCCCCCTGGGGGGGGCCTCAGGTTTTTTTGTGTTCAGCATCCCACTTGGGGTCATCGAGCGAGATGTAACTGCCATGGTTTGCTTTTGCTGTTGCAGCGTGCAAAGAATAGATGTAATGACGCATTGGGTACCTGCGATGCCAAAACTAATTGTCACCCGAGCTGCATGTGGGCTCACATGAGAATACACTCTGTCCGACTATCCTCAGGGCAAGACCGAGCTGCTTGCACTGGACACCCCTTGCAGCAATCACAACGATGAACGTCACTGACTCGCTTATGCTTGTCGAATAACAGCTTGAAAAGGGTCGAAGCATGTTCTATGGTGCGGGCCAAATCTAATATGGCCAGGTCAGCAAAGCAGAGCTCCCGTGAGAACGCGTAACCCGTAGCAAGCTGCATGTGCATCTGCGCCAGCCATGGCTTGAAACACACTTGCAAATACGTATCCATTAGCTTTGCCCTTTGACTCTGAGACCGGGGAAATATCTGACATTTCCCACCGATCACGACTCTCTCAAAGACTACATCATAGAATTGATCGAGTTGATCCCTCCGAGAATCCACAACTGCATCTGCCTTGGCTGCATCTGTGGGACTTTCCGGTTACAGCAAAGCGAGGCGAGCTGCATAGCGGGCTATGGCGCAGGATTGGCCTAGCACCAAACCGTTCAGCAGCTGGAGTGTAGGGAGTTGTCCGCATGGCAAGTTGCCAGCATCTCTCCTTTTGCTGTATTCAGCCATGCCGATCTCTTCATTCATGAAATCGACCTCACAAACGGCAAAGATCAGCCGAGAGAGTTCATTGCGACCCTATCGTGCCAATGCTTTGGGACGCCCGACCCGCTGGCAATCACAACTGAACCACACCTGCTAGGAAACTATGAGAAGACGCTTGGGTCAGAATGGCTACGGAGGGGCCTCTAGGGGTTTGGGATGCCCCTGATGGCCTCGTGGGGGGGGGCTCCTTGGGGACCTGCCGGCGGTGTTCAGGGCGTGTCTTAAACTTGCCGCGCGGTTGGGCCCTAGATCGGCTCAACGGCGAAGGAATGGGACGAGGGGAACATATAACAAAACGATCAGCGCGAAGTAGTAAAATCGAACGCGGCGCCATTGCCCAGGCAATACCGCACGGGGGTCGCGCGCGTGGGGGAAAAAAGGCCTCATGCCCAATCCCACCAACCCTCTGGGCGGGTGTGGTTTAGAGCGTTTCCTCTTCGACTCCCTTTGTTTCCCTTCCTGGCGGGGTTTATCA